ATCAGTTGACCATAGATAGATGGGTTGATGTCTGGATTCTCAATTCGATTCCATTGATCTATGTGTCTGTCATTGTACCGGTACCATGCTGTCTTTACCACTATGGCAGTGTAGTAGGATTTGAAATCAGGGAGTGAGATACCTCCTACCGTTCTTTTATTCGGAACATTTTTTTATTTCGGTGTTTTAGTGTTTTGTTGTTTTCTTTGTGAAAGTCTTTTTTGTCTCTAGTTAGCTTCATTTCTAAGTATCTCAGTTTGTAGTTGTCTGGCCTTGTTTTGGCTGCTGATGGTGAGCTTCCCCATCAACTCTTCACAGATGTGACCAATCTGACCTCCCTCTGTGAACTCATGTTATTATTATGTGCCCTTGGGATGAAAACAAGTAATAGCTGATGCACCAGTAGGCTATCAGAGGTCAATCACACAAGAAGAGACTGCCCATCATTTTCCCGTTGAGCAGCTGGTAGATTCAAACTGTTCGCCTTTGAGTCAGCAGCATGGCTCCTTACTCTAGGCCACCAGCTCATAGGGCCCCTAAATTGCTAGGGAACACTGCACAGTCCTGTGCCATCTTCATGATGGGATAAGTTAACAGAGAGGAATTTTCCCCTTTTTATCATTTATGTGCCATTTCAATTTCTTACAGCAATCTACAATTTAGTTTTATGATTTAAAAATATTGTATTGAAAAGCTTAAGTTATTAACTTGTCATTTCATAGTCATTAAAGCCAAAACGATTTAATAGTGTTCATTAAATGGGAAAATCCATTTTCTAAAGCTCATAACTACAAACATTACTTGCTTCCTAAGACGATACCCCAAGAAGGCATCAACAACTATAATTTTCATTGACCAATGAGATGTAAGTAGGATGCCTATAATGCATTTGTGCTAGAAAATATTTCACTGACTCCAGTGTTTGCAAAATGACCATAAAGGGCATGTCTCATAGTCTGCAATTTTCTTGCAGAACTTATGAGCTCTTCTTGAATGGTGGAACCCCTTATGAAAAGGGTGTGGAAGTGGACCCATCAGTCTCCAGAAGAGGTATGGCTCTGATGGTTGTCTTCCTTGTTTAAACATTAAACAAACAAAAAATTATTCAGATAAGTAGCTCTAGTCCAATAAGTATAGTATTTTTCACTAAAGCTCAGATTTTTAAAAACGCATCATTTCATATTAACATTTCAAGCATTTTTATTTAAATGCCTGTTTTCCAGCTGGGGTAGGTGGCATGATGCAGGCAGTCTTGAAGCATGAGAACCTTGCATTAGCTCCTCTTCCCAAACATTGGGCAGATAATCGGGACAATAAACAAACCCCAAGCTCCTATACCTGGGTCACAGGAGTAAGCATTTGAAATGGAGATATACATGCCACATTGTCCTCTAAACATAATGAGTATGTGTTAATTTATCCATTGAGCAGGCACTGTGCTCGGCAGTGGGAAATGAGACACAGTCCTTGTGAAGCCTGACACAATTGTAACTCCCCTTCTTTGGTCACCTGGTCTGGACCAGACATGTCTGCAGCCTAGCAGCAGTGATCCTGCCAAGGCACCTAAGGGGGCGGGTAATTCGTGGGGTCCTCTTGAGAGGTGGCTAGGTATCAGCATCACACCTCCTCCTCTATTCAGTCTGCTCAGCCTGTGTGTGTAGCTCCTGCTGATAAAATTCAGCACCACTGATTATTTGTTTAAAATATTATGATGGATTGTACTCACCATCCTATGCTTAAAGTCTTGAGTTTTGTTATTTTTTTTTAAAAGCACATGGAAATCTTTTCCATCAGATGATGACCATGAGAAGACAGCCTCAACTTCTGGTAAAACTGAGATCTTTGAACAGAAGATCAAAACACATACTCAGGTTGGTACCTGCTTTTAACTGTCCTGTCCAGGTTGTCCAGCCTGCTTTGTAAACCATCTCTTTTATGGTCTTATTCATTCATCATCTTTTACTGATGATTTTTCTGCTCATTATTTTTTTTTTTTTTTTTAGCTAAGAAAGCTTTATTAAGGGGTCTCCCAGGCGGGATTCCTTGGTCTGCAGAGAGAGAAACAGGCAAAAGGACAGACCAGGGAAATATCACACCCTAAGGTAGATTGTTGTTGTTGTTGTTATGTGCCATTGCGACTTATAGTGACCCTATGTACAACAGCCCTAAACCCTCCTCTGTCCTGTGCCAATAGAACTGCCTCTGACACACCCATCCTGATTACCCCAGTCACTGAATCAATCCACCTCATAGAGAGCCTTCCCCTCCTGCACTGTCCCTCCACCCTCCCAAGCATGATGTCCTTCTCCAAGGACCAGTCTCTCCTTACAACATGTCCAAAGTATGTTAGACGGAGCCTCAGAATCCTTGCCTCCAAGGAGCCACCCGGTTTAACCTTTTCCAGGACGAATCTGTTTGTTTTCCTAGCAGTCCATGGTACTGTCAATACTCTTCTCCAGCACCACAGCTCAAAGGCATTCTCCTTCTATCCTCCTTGGTCACTGTCCAACTCTCTGATGCATAACAAGTGATTGCAAAGACCATGGCCTGTATCATATGCACCTTAGTCTCCAGAGAGACACCATTGCTCTTCAGTACTTTGGAGAGGTCCCTAACAGCAGACTTTCCCATGGCAATGCACCTTTTAATTTCCTGGCTACTGGTGTCAAGAGTGTTGACTGTGGAGCCAAGCAAACTAAAGCTGTGAACAATCTCAGTCTCTTCACCATCCATCCTGATGCTGCCAGTTGGCCCAGTGGTGAGAATCTTTGTCTTCTTGACATTGAGAAGGTTTTATATTGAGGGTCTTTAGGGAGGGAAGGTATGGCCATTTCATTGTGCTTTAAACCAGGTAGGTGGTCTTCTGGGGAGGGAAGGGAGGGGCACTGCATGGTAGTTTAGGCTGTTTACTCCCTTCATGTTGATATTCCTTGAATCCTTTGTTCTCCCTTTGACCTTAGTCTGCCTGACATCCCAGCCTTTTTAGTGAGAAAAAAAAAGGGTGCCATATTCTTTCTGGCTACTTCCTTCTGAAGAGGGGTGAAGGTCTGGGGCTCAGAGCCTGAACTGGGATGACCCAGGACCAGTAGCCAGGGGAGAATATGGATGTCACAGCAGCTGGTTCAAGTTAGTCATTGCTTTTATTCTGTGAAGTAAGAATTCAAAAAGCCCTACTTAGGGCTTGGGACCTGAGTGAGGTGAAGAGTGGCAGGGTGCGGGCAGTGATTAGTAACAATTTGAAGAGATCTTAGCACTTGGGATTTGAGTGGGGTGAAGCGTAGTGGGACTCACCATTTGAGAAGGGTAGGAGGTCTGCTCAGGAGCACATTTGACCTGGGAAAAGATGTTGCCAATGAGGATTACTTATGACTTTTAACTGCTATGGGGGGTAGTTAGGGTGACTGTGTAAAGTCTATCTTAGTGCGGTTAAAGAGATTTGGGTGCATTCCGTTTAGTGATGATGGCATCTCCTGGGGTGACTCTAGCTGTCGACTCATTAATTCTCTGACTAACCAACTCCTAGTTGACTCTCTCCAGAGGCTGTAAATCTCATGGGAGAAGATGGTCCAGCTTTCTCCTGTGGAATAGCTAGTGGATCTGAGCCACTGGCCTTTAGATTGGCAATGCACCTCTTGACACACTGGGCTGCCAGAGATCCCTATAGATCAGTAGGGAAATAGAATACTAAAAGTTAGATTCACTTATCTCATGTGCCTTTTTAGTCAACTCCCCACCTCAGGAAATCAAGATATGAATTGCATTGGAAAAGTCAGTTATCAGGGACCTCTACAGAGTACTGAAGAGCAACAACGTCAGGCTGGAGACTAAGGTGTGCCCCATCTGGGCAATAGTCTTTGCAATTGTGTGCTATGCATCGGAGAGCTGGACAGTGACTAGGGATGACAGAAAGAGAATTGATGCCTTTGAGTTGTGGTGCTGGAGAAGAGTGTTGAACATAACATGGTCTGGTAGGAGAACAAACAGGTTTGTCCTTGAGAGTATGAAACCGGGCTGTTCCTTCGAGTCAAGGATTCTGAAGGTTCATCTGACACACTTTGGGCTTATTGCAAGGAGGGACCAGTCCTTGGAGAGGGACATCATGTTTGGGAGGGTGGTGGGACAGCACAAGAGAGGAAGACCCCTGATGAGATGGATCGATTGGAGTAATGTGCATAGATGTGTCAGAGGCAATAAGATTGACACAGCATAGAGCAGGGTTTAGGGCTCTTGTACATAGGGTTGCTGTGAGTCGCAAGTGACTCGATGACACATAACAACAACATATGCCACTAAGCACAGTGCATTTGAGATGCATCCATGTTGTTACATAGAGTAATTCTTTTTTAGTATAATGGGCTGCCTGTTTGATGGCAGTACCAAGATTTCCTTATCCAGACAATTTAGGTAGTTTCTAAGTTTAGAGAGACTTGAATAAAGTTGCCCTAGATATTTTTATAAAATTTTTTTAGTTTTGGTTATATGTTTTTTCTTGAATATCCTATGGAGTTATCTTAGAGTAGGAAGGAAGAAATCCTAGAGATTCCTAGGCCATATGGTATCTAACCTTAAAATAAACTGCTAAACTAGTTTCCATAGTGGCTGTACCATTTTACATTCTCATCAGCAGTGTGTGAGCATTCCACCTGCTCCATATCCCTAACTACTTTGATTTTTTAAGGTTAATTTTTTAATTCTTTTTAGCTCTTCTTATTAGTGAGGGGGGGGAGCTCTGTTGGCTTAGTGGTAGAATTACATGGCCAACCAAAAGCACATGGTTCGAACCCATGAGCTCCTTAGTGGAGGAGGGATGGGCAGTCTCCTCTTGTGCAGCCTCTGAAAACCCTCCAGAGGGTCAATTATTAGGTGTCTTGATTGAGTGGTCACAGCAACAGTTAGTGAGTCTTGGTATCCCATGGTGGTCTTCACTGGCCTCACAAAACCAACAACAGCTAATGAGCCATGGTATCCCATGGAGGTTTTCACTGGCCCAATGGGCTTTACACTCCTGGTATCCCCAGTCCATCTACTTCTAACTCGATAACAGTGGGAAAGTCATCTAACCATTTCATTGCTGCCTTTTGTCCATCCCTATGAAATAGACATATGTAAAAAGAGTGGAGCCTGCATAGGGATGACCAAGTCTGCCTCCACTAACTCTATAAGGCAGAACAGTCCCTGTTTCCAACAGCCACAATACAAAATCAATTCCTGTGTGGCCAGACATGCCCCAACACTCCCAGAATCTCCTTCTATCAATTCAACCACCAACTGTCTGTCGTCTCCCCAACCCCACCCCTGGCCCCCAGGAGTCTCAGTGCTGTGTCACTGGGCCTGCTAATCCATTGCAGTAGCCACTCAGAACTCACAGATCCATATAGTCTTGGTTATGGGGTTTATTAGGAAAGTTAATGAATTACAATCCAAGTTGGGAAGATGATGCAATCCTCAGTCAGAACAGCCTCTCAGGTGGATTTGTGGGTTCTTGACCTTCAGCCTTGTGTCTTAGGTCAGTTCTCCAAACCTCCTCCTGCCATTTATGGCCTCTCCACCCTGACCCCCCCTAGGCCTCCCATCCAGCAAGCTTGAGTGAAGGCCCCTGGCTCTGGTTCTATGGCATACAAGTCCCCGGGCGGCTCCATGTCATGATGGTCTCTGGTTCTCCACTTCTGCTGCTGCAGCTCTTGTCTAAATACCAGGCTGATTGATTTCTGGCCCCAAAAAGTGCTCCCTGCTTCTTTCTTGCTGCCAACAAGAGTCCCACCTTCTGCCTGTAAACATGCTGAATTTAGACCTGGCAGGATCGCAGGACTGCCTAGTTTCCTTGTTAGTGTCTTGCACCCTATTTGCTTATCTCCACCCAGGTAAAAGGCAAAGCTGATAGATTAGGAAAGCCTTTGGAAAAATCAGCCTGGACCACAGCATAATAATACCAACTCCATAAAGGCTAGAAAGAGGGCTGCAACCAAAGAAAGCATGTATACTCTTAACTAATATTCCCAATGCTAGACACTGGTTAGACGTAAAGATTTTATAATTATTGTGTGTATGAATAAAGAAGCCATGATGGAATAGCGGTTACTTAGCTGCTAGTTCAAACCCACCAGTTAACCTACAGGAGAAGTGTGGGGCGTTCTGCTTCCAGAAAGATTTGCAGCCTTATAAGCCTTGTGGGATAGTTGTGCCCACTCACTCTATGGTCTCTCTGAGTCAGAATTAACTCAGTGGCTGGGTTTGCTTATAAGTTGTAGATCAATATAATGAATGCCATAATGGCATAAAATATATTTAAAAGATATGCACTGTGTAGATGGTAATATCAATAGGGGCACTTGAAATAGGTTATGAGATACTGGAAGGATGCACAGACATGGAAGAAGGGAATATCCCACAGAACACACAGGTGGCACAACAACGTGAGCTGGGGAACAATCTCACTGTCATAGCTAACAAATAGTAAGTCAAGATATTAATGGAGACATGGTCTAACCCTCTCAATTATTGTTCCTCTCATGCTAGATTATGTTCTTCATTTAAATAGCCCTTTATCTTAATGCTAATTTTAAAATGTATTTAAAATTATAGTGGTGTTGGTTTTGTTATGTTCCATCGAGTCGCCTGTGACTCATAGCAACCCTATGTACAACAGCCCTAAACCCTGCTCTATCCTATGTCAATCTCACTGTATCTGACACACCTACCCCGAATACCCTAGTCACTGAATCAATCCATCTCATAGAGGGTCTTCCTCTCTTGCGCTGTCCCTCCACCTTCCCAAGCATGATATACTTGTCCAAGGACTGGTCCTCCTTGCAACATGTCCAAAGTATGTCAGACGAAACTTCAGAATCCTTTCCTCCAGGGAGCAGCCTAG